AAAACATTTTTAAACAATTAAAAATCAAACAATCGAGATTTTTAAGATCGTGTTTTAAAACATTTGCCATCCCTAGTTAATACCCACCGATTGGCCCAATATTTTGGTTCGTTAATATATTCACGTGATCTTGGCGGAGCCACCTAATTTACGAAAATTTAGAAATTAAAAAAAATTGTATGTACGATTAGAGCCCGAACGGTTCAAATCACTAAACTTAACACGTGGAATATTTTTTTTTTTTTTTAGCCAGAGGAAAGGAAACTTCAAAAGGCGAATGTGGATGTTTTACTTCCAGACAGTGTAAGATTTTTGCTCACTAAAACCTCTGTGTAAATGTTTTAATGTCTATAACTTGGCTTATAGACCATAATCCTGACAAGATTTCGCTACAAAAAAAAAGTTGAAACCAAACGTATACTTACACTTATAAGGGTTAAAAGAGACCCGCCAGGAGGGAATGAGACTGGTATTTTACTCGACACGAGCGAGTAAGAACAGACTATTACATGACGAAACGCTACCTTAAAAAGACCTCCGTAAGCGAACACGCATATGGAAAAATAAAAGGGTACGTTCTTAATTGGAAGCCGAATGTGATCGATATGTTTCAATTGATTGGTTAATTTTGGTGATCTCGATATCAAGATTTAATCACGTGTTTAAAGTCGCGTTTATGCGGAAATTCTTTATAGCTTTTTTTTTCAATTTTATGCCTCCCGGCCTGGCCCTCCTAAAAATTCACAATTTTCAAAGCTTTGGCTTTATCTGTTATAATTTCCCAGTAAATGTCCGTCGTACTTGCTCCAAAAAATAATTTAGATCAACAACTTAAATGGCTGACGGAAAACAGACCAAAGCGTCGCGTGCCTTGTTCTCCATTAGACTTACAACAGAACACGAAATGTTCACGTATTTATGCAAACAAAGATTTAAATACCGGGTTTACCATAAACACTAAAACTTATGAAGAGTGGATAAATGATTTTGAACCATTCACTGAAGAAGAACTAAAAAGTGATTTAGAGGCATTGGGTCTTAAAGATATTATTACTTCGAACAAAAATATCAATGACAATAATAGTACTATTAATACCAATACTCAAGAATATGATACATACGATGACTTGGTTAAAGATTTTGAACCATTTACCGAAGAAGAGTTAAAAAGCGATCTAGAAACGTTTGGGCTTACAATTTCACCGAGCACGCCGTATGTAAAGTCTCATGCTGAAGTTTCTACATTTAAACTTGATCTTAACTTCTCTAAATTAGAGAGTATTGATATAACGCATGACCTGTGGCCAGAGAACAATCAGGATCTCGTAAATATGAGCTATGAGGAATTGAAACAATGTTTATCTACTGTCCAGTTCATAAAATGCAAAATTGGTGATGAATTGTGTGATTTGATTGAAAATAGTACGAGTGATGATTATCGAAAAAATATATTACGTAAAAAAAGATTAGATTCTTTCAAACGAATTGATGCAATAAAAGAAAAATTATTATCAAATGGTTCAAATAATATCATTGATTCTTCTGCACATAATGAGACTTATTCGGCCTTTTCCAATCGATTAATATCCGATAAAGAAAATATCATTGATTCTTCTGCACGTAATGAGACTTATTCGGCCTTTTCCAATCGATTAATATCCGATAAAGAAAATATCATTGGTTCTTCTGCACATTATGAGACTTATTCAGCCTTTTCCAATCGATTAATATCCGATAAAGAAAATATCATTGGGTCTTCTGCACATTATGAGACTTATTCGGCCTTTTCCAATCGATCAATATCTGATAATGATAATATCATTGATTCTTCTGCACATTATGAGACTTATTCGACCTTTTCCAATCGATTAATATCTGATATATCTGATAATAATATCATTGATTCTTCTGCACATTATGAGACTTATTCGACCTTTTCCAATCGATCAATATCTGATAATATCATTGATTCTTCTGCACAAGATAATAACACTGAGATTTTTAAAGTGTTACGGGGTAACTTTAAATTAGAAACATTTCGACAAAATCAATTAGAGGCCATTAATGCAACACTGCAGAGAAAAGACGTTTTTGTATTGATGCCTACCGGAGGCGGAAAAAGTTTATGTTATCAATTACCGGCTGTATTGGATAACATTAGAACTAACAAAGTCACCGTTGTAATCTCACCATTACTATCACTCATTCAAGATCAGATTCAGCGCTTAAATCAACTTAAAATTCACGCATTGGAACTGCAAGGTGATCATGATATAACCCGTCGAAATATGGTGTTTTATGAGTTAGAAAAATCAGCACCAACGCTTGTGCTACTTTATTTGACACCAGAGATGTTAAATAGAAGCAATCGTGTCATGGAGTTAATTCAATCTCTTCATCGTCGCGGAAAATTAGCTCGATTTGTGATCGATGAAGCTCATTGTGTAAGTCAATGGGGCCATGATTTTCGACCGGACTATAAAGACCTTGGACAATTGAAGGTGAAATTTCCTAATGTTCCGATGATAGCACTCACTGCAACTGCAACTGCTCGAGTTAAAGAAGACGTGATTCATAACCTATCAATGAAACATTGTGAAATATTTATTCAGGGGTTTAATAGAAGCAACTTGGTATATCAAGTTTGGAACAAGACTAAAAATGTGGATACACAAATTGTTAATTTTATTCGTTCTAATTATCTGAGAGAGACAGGGATTATTTATTGTACTTCAAAAGCTTCATGTGAAGATGTTGCTCAAATGCTTTGTCAAAAAGGTTTAAGTGCATCATATTATCATGCCGGGCTGGATAAACGAGATAGGCAAAGGATTCAAGAAGATTGGCATTCCAACAAAGTTCGAATAATCGTAGCAACCACAGCATTTGGAATGGGGATTGACAAATCAAGTGTTCGTTATGTAATTCATTATTCAATTCCGCAGTCGTTAGAAGGATACTACCAGGAGACAGGACGTGCAGGCAGGGATGGAGAAAAATCAGTGTGCATATTATTTTATACCTATACAGATAAATTTGCTATTGAAAAAATGATTATATCGGGAGATGGGGGCTTTCAACAAAAGCAACAACAACGAGAAAATTTACGAAGAATGTTAAAATATTGCGAAAATAAATATGATTGCCGTCGTCAACAAATTTTGGCATATTTTGGCGAACTATTTAATTCAAGTCAATGTCATAAAACCTGTGATAATTGTGAAATGGCAGCTACGACACGAATAACCGAATTCGATGCTACACAAGAAGCTAAGGTAAAATAGTTAATTGTATGATATGTTGCGATTGTTTATTAAAACTTGATTCTCTTTTAATTAGGACATTATACGATTAGTGGAACGGAATAAGCACGCAGATGTTACTAGTAATCAGTTTATAAGCATGATGAAGACAGAGAACAGTAAAAATTTTGCCTCTATTGTTCAAAAGAAACATTTAGTACTCCCACCCGAATTTAAACCCTCTACCCTATCAAAGGATCAATTAGATAAGTTGTTTAAGACAATGATACTACAGGAATTCTTATTAGAACAAAATCAACCAAACAATCAAGGATATATCACATCTTATATAAAGGTGGGAGAAATTTTTCCGTTCTTAAAAAATTTACGAGATCATTATTCATTATTTACATAACGTTGGATAGGTTGGCATTAAAGCTAACGATATATTAAGGGGTAAGGAAACTATCAAATTGAAAATGGTAACCTGACAGGTAAGATAATAATTTTTTGACTAATATTAATGGATATATACCTTCTAACCTCATCTTAACTTGTCAGCTTTGTAAATATTTATTATATTTATTTGACACAATTTTCGACACTATTATTTTGTCAGTATTAATAGACATTAAAAATATAACATTGAATTATCATTATGCATTATACAATATAACGTTGCCTACCGCTATTCTCTGTAAAATATGGATTTCGTAATCTTCATAATAATTATTACGAAAGCAGACAAAAATTTTAGGTAAAAATTTAGCAAAAATTCATTGACATTAATGAAATATTTATTGTATTAAAAAGTTAGAGCTAAATTGATTTGCCTTAGGGACCGCACAAAAATTTCAGTATTTTAAAATTTTCAGTAGCGGTGATATAAATTATAAAATCGATGTCAAATAACATACTCAAATTAATAAAATTGATATAAACCAATGGGTTTAACGTAATTTATACATTCCATCATTATAACTTTCCCGTGATTGATAAATTTATGCAGCTGGATTTAAAGCACGTATGTACTTTTACAGCTTATAAAATTGATAACAGTCACACGATTTGTCACATGTAAATTTTTTACTTATGAGTCAAATGATTGACGCACCTAAATTTCATAAGTAAAATTTAGGCAAATTTTGATTTTTTGACTTATTTAGCAGGAAGAAGCTGTTGGTTTATTTTCTGAGTCTGAGTTCGTGAATTCTATAGCATTTGAAGCATCTTTTCATAAAATTTTAAGGGTGGTTTATAATAAACTCTTGAATAATCTAGTCCATGAAGTTAGCCAATTTTTGACGATTTTTACTATTTGTTTATAAGTAATGCACATTATTTTACCAAAATAGAGGAACGTCTAAAGCGGATGCAACTCATATTTAATAATTTTTTTGATTAATTTTAGGATTTAAAACATCCTATATTAGGGTTAAGTTAGGTTTTTAGTACTTATATATAAGCAAAATTGCCTTCCCAACATTTTTGATTAACTTACCCAAGGTAGGTTTAGACTGCTATTTTTTGTATTTTTCAGATTTTTGTTTTTATTTCTTGCTTTGCTTTGCCAGTAATCATCGAAATTCTATAATTTAATTGGACATTGATCACATGATTTGCCTCTGCTTTAGATGTCTTCTAAAATAGGTAATTAGAACTGTCAACTAAATTGACAAATTTAATTACCAATTTTGGTGAAATAATATACTGTATATTACTTATAAATAAATAGTAAAAATCGTCAAAAATTGGCTAACTTCATAAACTAGATTATTCAAGGGTTTATTATAAACCACCCTTAAAATTTTATGAGAAGATGCTTCAAATGCTAGAGAATTCACGAACTCAGACTTAGAAAATAAACTAACAGCTTCTTCCTGCTAAATAAATCAAAAAATTAAATTTTACTTAGAGAGCTAACAATTATCAGGTGATTTTCTAGGGGAGTCAAAAAAATTAGAATTTTATATATGAGACCTGATAATTTATATATTAAAAACTAGAGAGGGGTAAGCCACTGATAAAAAAAAACAATTAATAAATATTACTATATTTATGAAATTTAGGTATGCCAATCATTTAACTCATAGTATTACAATACTATGGCCTTCTTGGTCACCATGTAGCAAGGTAACAAGATCACCCGGTGCAGGGACCTTGCTATTGGGGTGTATATAGGGTAGAAGTGGAATATGCACTACTTCCACTAGCAGGAGGCAACGGTTTGGCATAGGGATAGTATATAAGTTAACACTTTATTTATTATAGATCAAGGAAAATAACCTCACCTACTAGGATTACTCTAAAGGGAGTATATTACTTTATACAAGAACAAGAGTATATGAGGGTAAGGCTAGATACTATGAGAGAGTAAGTAATTCTCTCACTTGAGTAGAAGAGACAAAAACTCCCTTTTTATAACTTTTCTACATATAAGAGGTATAATAGCTAAACTATATAAGAGGCACTCAGAAGCACTTGTGTAAAGGCACTTAGAGGCATTTGTGCAGAGGCACTTAGAGGCACTCATGCAGAGGCACTTGGAGGCACTCATGTAGAGGCACTTAGAGACACTCATACAAAGGCATTTAGAGGCACTTAGAGGTACTTATATAGCATTACTATGCCGTATATAACTAGCCAATAATATTTCTATACTAATATAATAATAAAAATAATAACTAATACTATACTAATAAATATAACTATAATAATAACTAATATTAAATATACAATAATGAACTATAATCTATACTATACTATACTAATGTTATATTGTGTTACAATCTGCTTTGTAACAATAGGTAAAAAATTTACACACATGATCTGTATGACAAATTGTGTGCCTGATAATAAAACATATATGTATATATAGTACATATTCTAGAATTTTAAATCTGTATAACACATTTAATTACATTTTTCTCAAAACTTCAAACCACCCTTGAATGGTAGTTTTTCTAGTTTATTCTTTATATAGATTATCTGCTAGCACTATGAAAATCATTGTTTGTATTTTTTGATCAATTTTAAGATGATTTTTTATTACATATATATATTAGCTTAGGGTATGCATAACAAGTCAAGATCTTATATAGATAATATAAATAATAAGAATTAGTGTTTGTAATTGATTTCACGTTAGTTGATAAAATCGGCTTAGCCAACTTAGTTAGCCAATTTTTTAAAAAATCAGCTTGCTCAACTACAATAGATTATATATATATTAGATTAAAATTTAGAGCAGTTTATACTAGAAGCTGAAAATTTCTAAAAAGAAAATTAATAAACATAAAAATATAAGCAAAGTCAAGATAAAAAATTTGAAAAATCTCTGATAACTTTCAAAGTTTAATCAAATAGAACTTTGAATAATCAACTCTAACTTTGCTAGCTAAGCCAAATTTTAAATATTGACTTAGTCAAGTCAATAAATAATAATCAACTACAAACACTAATAAAAATATACCGCTAATAAAAATTTTTGTTAATTTTATAATTTTATAGATTAAAATATGCTTTTTCTAATAATATAAATTTTAATAAACAAATTATTTTAATAAAATATACTTGTATATATGTAACTTCAAATTTGCTGGGTTTACATGAAAACTTTAATTTTAATTAGTTATTTTATATAATTATTGTAACAGATTAAAATGAAATCGAATTAAAATGAAATTTTTCTATTTTTTTAAAAAAATTTAAAATTTTTTAGAAGACATTTTTTAGGGTTAGTGTTAGGGTTAGAGTTAGGATTTAGGGTTAGTTTTATTAATAAAAGAGTATAAGTGGGTTTTATAAGCTTTAAAAATGAGCAAAAAAGGTCTCCAATTTCATTTTAATCTGATTTCATTATGATTTGCGACAATTATTATATGATTTTTGTAACTAAAAAATTAAGAATTTTTTTATATCTCTGGCTAGAAATATATAATTTATATATCTCTGGCCTAATTAGCTAATCAGAAATTAAGAAAGTTATATGATTAGCTAATTCAACCATCAACATGCTATTAATAGCATTCCAAGTATACAAGATTATTTGACAGTCTGATAATATGCCAGATATGTAATTTTGTTTTTATTATTATTATTTTTTTCTTTGTAGGTTTTAATTTTTTTCTTTGCAGATTTTGGCTTTATAAAATATAGATTTGGTATTGAAATAAGAACTTGCTTAAAACCAGTCTAAGTAAGTACAAGTTTTTTTCAGAAGCTATGTTTAATGCCTTTTTTACAGGTCTTGGTTTTTTTTTTTTTGAGATGCTAACTATTGTAGTTTTTTTGTAGCCCAAACTTTGTGATAAATAATTTAATACTAAATAGATGAACTTAATATTGGAATAAATTTGGGTATAAACTTAATACTGGAATAGATGAACTTGATATTGAAATGGCTGAAATAAAAACTTGAGCATGAACTTAATACTAAAACTGTTTGGGTAAGGCCTTGGTTTTATGAGAAGTGGCTTGATACAGTAAAGAGTATTTTTAGCTTAGTATAATAAGATAAGTACTACTTTTCTTTGTGGTTTTTTTTTTTTTTTTTTTTCAAAAAGCTATCTAGCTTTATTTTTTTATAAATTAGACTTCATAATAAATAAATTGGTACTGGAATAATTGATAGATAAACTTGGTATTAAAATTATCAAAAACTTGGATATACTAAACTGGTCTTAGTAAATACAAGCTTTTTTTTCTTTTTTTTGTTATCTTCTAGATAATAACTATTTTTTCTATAAATCTTGGTTTTATGAGAAGCAACTTTGTGTCAGTAAAAGAGATTTGGGCTTGTTTAACTAGATAAGTACTTCTTTTGTAGTTTTTCTGCATTTTTTTTTTAAAAAGCCAAATTGTTTTCTTTTTTTGTAGATTAGGCTAGCATGACAAACATTCGATTTGATTGGCTGAAGATCTCCAAGTTATACAATATAAAAAAATTTTAAAGTAACTTTTATTATAAAAAACTATATTGTCAATTAACAACTCATGATTTTACATAATAAAATTTTTTTAAAGTATACTATAGTATTCTTTAACTCTTTGTATATCTTTTGTAAAAAAAAATTAGTATAGATCAATATCCTTAAAAACTTTACTTAAAAGACAAATTTAAACAAGTAATATATATACATATAGCAAATATAGAAATTATAGATTAATAAAAAAAAATCTTGAAAGATATTATAATATTTATGTTTTCGGTTTACAAATTTGCTTGCTTTTATTTTTAATACAACTAATTCTTTATATTTACAAATAACATACATCTAAAATGATCAGAAGTGTACTACTTTAGTAATAAATATTTATATTTTGTGCTGATTTTTTTTTTTTTTTGCAAATTGCCAATTATACAGCAAACTTTATTAGAAGTTAAGATATTACAATTGTATTATGAATTATATCCATATACTACTGTAAATTCTTCTTAGCCCAAATCTATATATTAATCTCATACTATAGAACTACTATTGTCCAGACT